AAAACCTTGCTTACTACCATGGGTCTGTGCATTGATGACATCAAAAAGTCGACGGTTGATAATAATCTTGATATCAAACTCAAAGCTCAACAAGTGCATTTAATTTATTTTATATTTTGAAATGATTCTTTTTAAAATTCACTTCCGTCATTATTCTTTTACTCACATCAAGAACCATTCACTTATATTTCCAAAAGTGTAAAAATATGAAAATTAGAATTAAAATTAAAATTAACGTATGAACCTCTCTGATGAACCTGAAAAGTTCACAAGAATGACACAATGCCAGGTATCAAAGTCAAAGTTCACAAAGTACATTTAATTTATTTTATATTCATGAAATAATTTTCTTTTAGAATTCACTTCCATTAATATTCTTTAACTCATATCAAGGAGCATTCACATATATTTTCAAAAGTGTAGAAATATGAAAATTAAAATTAAAATTAAAATTAAAATTAACCTATGTAACTGAAGAGCTGACAAGAATGATACAATTATACATTCGTTAAAACGCGCAGCACAATCTTAAGATTGCCATTCAATTATATGATCGTTAAAACACGTAAGATATGCGCCGATCGGAAAATAGCTCGGAACAGAAATTTAGTGGTTTTTGTCTACTCTACTATGTTATAGAACACTGTGCATAGTATACAGATTTACACCACGGGGCAGTATCCTCCGTGAACATGTGACCCGTTAGAACAAGGACTTACTTTAGTTTTAATAGATCTTTTACGGCGCTCGCAACTGCATAAGGTCATATGAGCGCCAAAAGATTAGAGGTGTTACAAGAGAGTAACACACATAAAAAAGAAGAAGGGGAGATAAGGATGATAGATGTTTCATAGAAAAGAAGAAGCAAACCATACCAGAGCACCCGCCAACCACCCACGAACAAAGACTGACCTTGACTTTGATCTCGTTCCTGTCCACCTTGTCGATGTAGTGTCTGCCAGCCAGCACGTTCCACCGGTGCGAGTCGATGCTCTTGCCTCTGTGGACGGAGAAAACGTGTCCTTCTACTTGTGGTCAAAGAGTCTACATAACAAGAGGGTCCACCTCTCTCTTTGAGCCAATTAAGAAAGTGTTCTCAAAATTCGGTGGCGCCCTCTTCGCAAATGCGCACCCTTTGCGAACAGAGTTACCCTATTTGTGTTTAAAAATCAAAGTGAAACTAACAAGTTTTTTGAATAAATAAGAATTCATATTTTGGAAGAACGCTTTTTAAAAATGGTTACGCTGACATAAAACCTCTTCCGGAGGAAAGGGCGACTGTTTTCTTCGTTTAAGTTGACTTTAGAATGAGAGGCGAGAGGTCACTAAAATTTTAAAAAAACCTAAAACTCCGCACTGAACGAACGCGAACAGCTGATGACCAGCAGTCGATCTGCGCACGCAAAGAGGTGCTGTTCCTATTCTTCTTCTGGAGAAACGAAAGAGAGCTTCAAAACAGACTGCAGCGCCATCTGAAGCAAAGAGCGGACTTCCGGCGAACACTTTTTTGGCTGAGTGGACCATCTTGTTATGTACTATCTTTGGTGTGGTGCACAGAATTCTACACTTATAGTAGAAGCGGAACTCCTCTCTCGCGACCGTTGATTCTCTGTGAGGAATTAACTCTAAAACATGGCGGCATAGTGAGGGCACCTTTGGCTGCGCCGCACAGCGAGGCTTCGCGTTGCTATGCACGCTGATGCTGGTGGAGGGCTTGGAAGACACCTTACATCAGTATTGTTTAAAACGTTCTTCGATGAGGGAATAGTGAAATGCATTTTTATTGCCAACTACCCAGACTGTCATTACAACGGGCAAGGTCACAATTTTGTGTGTGTGTTGTTGCTTTGTTCTTTTTAATTGATGAGATGGGGATTTAGACCAAGACCTAGATCTACACACTCACAGTACACTTGATAATAACAATAGGATGATTATGAACATTAATTCTATTAATAGAATTCTTTGGTATGGTGTGAATGGGTGTGGATTTTTGTTTTAGTAAGAGTTTCACAGCACTTGCAACACAATTAAGTCATATAAGTGCCGAAGACTAGAGGTGTTACAAGAGAGTAACATACACAAAAAGAAGGAGGGGAGATGAGGACTACACGAGATGTTTGATAGGAAAGAAGGAGCAAATCACACAAGAGCATCCACCAACCACCCACTTTAATGTGTCAGAACACTATTGACGAAGGGGCTATACTACGTGTACCGTACTTACTCAAAACAGTGCGCTGCTGTCAAGACCAGATTCTCACTCAAAATGGCGCCTCCACATACCTGAGATCCTAGCTCCAACAGCATCACCTATGGGGGAGGGAAGGGGGGAGGGGTA